TCAATGGTGTTAGTCTGAACTTTGCGCCTGATGATCCCGTTGTTAAGAAGCCTGCTGCTGAGGAGGCGAAGCCGGAGAGCAAGGCTTGACTGCGGCTTAAGCGGGCTGTGAGGATTTGCCGTTTTTATGTTGCTGGAATTTGATGGAGTTGTGGGTGTGTGTTGGAATGGATATTGAAGGTGTTGAGATGGATAGGGAGGGATTGCTCAGTACGGCACACTGGTATTATTGAATTGCGAATATTCTTCGACTACTACGATATATTTCTTTCTTGCTCTGCTTATAGTTGGTTATATCCTGTGATGTTATTGCCTTGATGCACAGAGCATGCTTCATTTCTTCGATTCGTTGAAGGCCGAGCATCTAAAGGAATCAGTTTAAGGGGCTTACTTGCGTATAAGTAGAGTTCGTCCTCCTACCTTGGGCGACTGGCAGATGTCGGCGAAGTCTTCCTCCGGAGGGACCAGAGTCAAGGCATCCAGTGCCGGCCCAGCAGGCCACCCAGCTCTCCAGTGAGTACAGTGTTTGGAGTACTGGGTACAGAACCTGGCCGAGGAGCTGGGAGTTCATCGACGTTATGAGGGCTATGTTTATCTGTTTAAGCCACAGGTATAAGGGTTCGGATATCTGGAGGACGCTACCTAGGTTTAACTAATCAAGATTCAAAACACCGAACTCCCTTGCCCGAATGTAGCTAACACGCCTCAATCTTGAAGACAGCTGCTTGAGAGCCGGATTTTGCTAGGTGCTTCTAACTTTCTACTAGCCTTTTAGCCTCATTTCCAGCCTCCGCTGTAGTATTTCTGATGGCCAGACACCCAAATTCACCCCTGAGATGATGCTTTTGTGCGGGCATCCAGCTTACTTTGGGATTTCGGGATAACGCCGCTTTGAACTTGGGGTTCTGGTAGGTGCAGTACCCAGAATCTAATTGAGAGGCAGTGATTTTAGTCCATTTCTCCAATTACGAGCACATTCTAATACTTGTGTTGGTGTGAGTGCCTCTGGAGTCTTGATGGACTTCTTCCAGTCCCCAGCTGATGCCCCTTTTTGCAGCCTGCTACCCTTGAATAATACGTAGTCGCTACAGAACCTGATGGCCTCCGCCTCCCTCCAGCAGAGGTAAAGAGGATTCTCAAAGAGATATTTGTAGCGGTGTACGACGTAATGCCTATACACAGCACGGTCATGTTGATTTGAGACGCCCCAGCTTTGTAGATCCAAAATGTTTAGAGAGTTCTCGAAATTGCATACGCCATGATCTCAAAACCCTCACTAGTAGCCTTAAGAGGGAACATCGTTGGTAACTTCAGTGAAAGCTACCTGGATGATGCGAATTTAATGATGGGGAGCTTGAGGTCTCTAGGCAAAGGACGCCATTTAAGATTTCAACCTGTCTGTCCGTGTTTTACAGCTTTTTCTTCCTCTTCCGATTTCTTCTTCGGCAAAGACTTAGAAAACTCCCATTAATTGAAGGTAAACTGTTCAAGACTGCCCTATCCATTGAGTTTATATAAATCGGCTAATGTTGGCAGGAGTCACCCAAGGCAGTGAAAACATCATCATGGTGATGGATGTTGTCGATGTTGGTCCACTCTGAAATAACCATCTGCTCTAAAGAATATGTCTACTGCAGAGTATATTGATTCTTCATATGTTCAACACTCTTGTGGTGCCATGCTCTACCAAGAAACACACTGCATACTTCCTATTTGGGCTTAAGTATTGAGCAATATTGTTATTCATCTTTGGCGCCGGCAGGTTTACTCTGTAATTGGTGGCGTTATTGAGTTAATCGAACTATCTTGTTTGAAAAGAAATTATTTTATTGGATATGTAACAGCCGAAGAGTTCCACTAGCCTCATAACTTCTGCTCGCGCGTGATATGTCCAAAATTCAATGCCCTGTGACATACACAACAATGTACCACTGTTTGGAAAAGAGTCAGAACTTTCACATGGCTGAGTTGCTTACATGAATATGAAAACTAGGTTCCATCAGCCGTGGGAAGAGCACAGTTGCACTGTGGCAGCGAATCCTATCTCTCAATATCACACTGCAGAGTAAAGCTTGCTCACAGTGTCTTGTGTTTGCTGCAGGTAGGTGTCAATAGACATGTCACGATCTAAGAATCACTATGTTGATGAAAATTGATGTATAACTTCTTCGATAAGGGACGTGAGGCTCGTGGTGATAGTCATACTTCTCCTAGAGTGTGCGCGGGTACCTAACACAGGTACCAGAATTACTTGCTCACCCAGACTGTCAACCCTCTGTTTTCCCACACCACCTGCACTCACATACCACACCCAGGAGCTCTTTGCCCGGACGCTCCTTCCTCCATCGTGTCCAGCTAGTTTACGCGGTCAGTACTCTGCCACTTTCCACTTAATTACTCAGTGCCTTCTCCCACACTCTGCCTTCTTCAACCACCCACCATCTGCGCACACATTCCCATTTTGATCTCTCCCAAAACATAGACAATTTTGATCATCATTTGGCATTTGTGCAGTATTCAATCTACCGCAAACCTCATCATCATCATCCATCCACTATTCCCAACCTACATCCTCAACCAACCTCACTCTCGTCTACCAGCATCATGTCTCCTCGCAGACCTTCGTCTGATGTCCGAGCCGCGAGCTCCTCCTCCTCCTCCTCCCCCACGCGCCGCATCACTCGTAGCATGGCTGGTGCTCCCCGTGCTCGTGGCCCTACCATCTACGTCCCCCATCTCTTGAAGGCTAGCCGTAAGGGAGTCAAGAAGGCTTCTGGCACTCCTCCTACACCTCGCATCCGCCTCGTTGGCCGCTGGGGATCTTGGAATGACATCGTCGAACGCTACCGGGACCACATCATGACCCAGCCCCGCGCTCGTTGCCAGCTCCCTACTCCTCCACCCGAGCAGCACAAGGGCCCTGCCGTCAAGTTCACCAAGGTTTACGATGGTGTCAACAACCTCCTCTCAGTCTTCAACGTCACCACTCGTACTTTCGTCTACAAGAAGGGTGATCCGGCCTATGACGGCTACTTCATCACCATGATGCAAGGAAAATGCATCTGCATCCACGACGAGAACATGGTTCCGGTGTACGTCAAGGACATCTGATCTTGCACCAGGTAAGCTTGCATCGTCGTCGTCATAAACGCTTCGATTGACTACAGGCTGACAATCGTTCCAGCCTACGAAGAGATGATGAAGCAACGCTGCACGATTTGGACTTTGAATACAGTTCTACATGATCTTGTATTGGTACCCCATGCCAGCAATATGATGCAGCGTCTACGACCAGCACGCTACCTATTCGACATTTCTGCTTCAGTCATCCTTCGGTCTTTTGATTATTGCCCCTTCAGCGCAAACAGAAAACCCACAAAACCCACAAAAAAGGTGAAAAGAAAAAACCCTGAAAAAAAAAAGACATTCCCTTGTGCGAACGTTGTTTGCGCAACCTTTCATGGAACTTCCCTTGAAGACATCGTCGTCGACTTCTTCAACGATGCAAGGTGACTCAGCATGACCCGAAGAGGTCTGATCGTACATGATTGATTTCGTTCCAATCACTACGCCAGCGGTATCAAGGACAACATACAACGCGCAACTCAACCATTCTCCCCTCTTCTTTTTTTTCGATAAGACTAATTTGGTCCTCCGGCCCTCTTGGTTATCGTTAAAGCCAAATATATATTTCGTCTCGGTACGACGATGGATTTCCAGGGTGACCGTCTCGACTTTCCTTAGGATTGTTGGGTTGGATCTCTTCTTTCCTTCCTCTCAGGAGTCGGTTGGATGGTTTCTTGATACCCCTCTTACCCTCGATGCTTTGATCGAGTTTTGATTTCTTTCCTTATAATTTAGCGCGATCGAGACAATGATATCGGTTGGTCTTCACCACGGGGTATGGATAATGGATCCCTGCCCGTCGAGGCGTGGCCTTTGGTTTTCCCTCTTCTAGATCTCACAAATTAGGAGGAGGTTTTTCCCATCAGCGTTACAACCATACGTAGACGATAGCTAATAATAACCGCTCGTCTGCTAATACCTAGTGTTCCCAATGTCTACCTTTACGTGATATTTGACGTCTAAAGAAACTTAACCCCCAAACTCTCTTACTTGAGCTATACGTCAGCTTACCACGGCAATTGACTGTCATGACATTCACACACCTCAGGGTATAATGCTTAGGCTATATATGTAAGATGCATCACTGATGTTGTCAGAAAAGAGGCTGTATCAAAGGGGGTAATGCTGCTGCAGAGGTGTCGGTCTGAGTAACTGACAGTATGCCCATATTGCTAAGCCATTTTATCTCCGTATTCATGCCTTCCGGTCACTATGTCATTTTTTCTGCATCTGTCGGAGCATTGAGGCTCCCCCACCAATCAACGCTTTGTTCCCGTCCCAATTCGGATGCACCAATCTGGGGTTCGAGGGGTTTCAGGGTGTCTGTACTCCACTTGATTACCTAACGGGACCCTAATTCTTAACCTCACCTCTTGCAATGCAATGTACAGCAGAGGAGACTCGCGATGGCGGTCTTTTGTGAAATTTCAAAACGGGATGGGATGGCTTTGAACGGCGTATGCGTGGGCGATGCCTTGTGCGGGGCTCAATTGGCCCTTACCCTAGGTCACGAGAGTGGCTGGAGGTGAGATCCGTCAAACGGCAACGGCGGTAGGACTACATACTCGGACTGATGTAGGTAGATATTGCTGCGAACATGTGAGTAGCAATATTAGTGCGCATGTCGTTCGTAGATCGACGCAAGCACGTGGAAAAATTGCGATGTTCGGCAGAAACACCGAAGGAAGATGCTGGATATCAACGCAAGTGCGAACAAAGATGCCAATATACATACACCTGATAGATACCGGAGGAAACTTGGCAATACTAATTTCAGAAGAATAATGAGAGCAAGAGAGAGAAGAGGAAGAAGAAAAACACATGCTTAAGGACAGAAATTCTCTATAAAAAAAATAAAAAAGCAAAAGAAAATTTTGCGAGATCCCAGAATCGAACTGGGGTTTCCACGGCCACAACGTGGTGCAATCACCACTATACTAATCTCGCTTTGATTGTTTGTTGAGGTAGCAAGGTCTTGCTTGTATTTATGAGGCCGTTGTGTTGACCGTGGGAACTTAGTGAAGGTTTCTGGACGGACGACGACGGGACGGCGTGACTTATATTTGGCACTTAGGTAGGCAAAAAACGAACAGGAATGAAAGTAATGGCCGCATACATACACACAACATTTCATTGCACACCTGGCATTTTCGGGCACTATGTTGTGAAAACCTGTATTCCGATTGATGTCTTCCTGTCTGTATAGGGACAACCGACTGACAGACTCTGTATGTCTACTAGTAGTCCCTCTATAAGCGCCTTTGACCATCTTTACCCGATATCTAGCCATAGCGCCTCGCTATTATACAAAGGAAAAAAAAAAAAAAATAACCACACAGCCACGAAAGCAACCCTCAGAAACCCATCATTGGCCAATCAATACCCCTATTGATAGGGACTCCACCTCGCCCCTTCAGCACCGATCCAAGCTTAATCTAAGCAGGCTGCTTAGGGTCAGCGGGGCAAGCAGTTCCAATGCAACAAGATATGTAGCCATTCTGGCATTGTCCGAAGGAGTTCGCAAGGCTATCAGCAGGGTATGTGTATGCCGCATGATTGCAAGGTGCGAAGAAAGCCGTGGGAGCGGTTGCTTGGGCGTCAGGCTTGAGCGGGTTGTAGCAGGAGCCTGCTTCCAGCATGCCGGACTAGAGAGTTGAATTAGTATCCCATCTTTCTTTGAATATCAAAATTGAAATGAGGACTTACAGGACACGAGCTCAACGCGAGCAGATTCCTGTTGCAACCCGTAACGACTGTGCCGGCGCATGAGCATGTAATAGGGACAGAGTAGGCGTCACTGTCGTGTGAGATCTCGTTAGTACGTTAACCGAGAAATTGGCAAGGGAAAAGTGGGAGAGAAGAACCACTTACACGAAGCTGACGTCTACATCAGGGACAGCGACAGTATAACCTAGTGGGACGTCGAAATTGGCCTCAATGAGCGAGACTAATCGGCCGTCTGTCAAATCACCGTATTGTGCTTCGGCGACAGCAACACGACCGGCCCACTATCCACAATGGGAAAAACAAGAGTTATTAAATCAACTTAGGGCAAGCAAAGGGGGGAAAGACTTACATTGGTGGGAACAGCAAAGCCCTCAACTTGTCCAACAGCTGGGTACTCGGAACTGCGATGCCGCTTACCCCGGTTAGGGTTCCACTGTGACCGTGAGTTGTCGAGACCGCTACAGTGTGCTTGTTGGTGACCGAGATAGTCAGGTACTCCGGGGGCGGGGCGATATTTGGACCGCCAATGGCGGCCGTGGGGATCGGTGTGGGATCTAAGGCACCACCGATGCCGAAACCCCAGTTGGACGGGATGGGGTACTCCCCGTCCGGGGCGGGGGTTCCCACGGGAGCGCTGGAGACCGGTGCCTGAGGCATAGGACGAGGTGAGCCCAGGACGGTGATAACGGAGAAGGCCAGTATGGCAAAGATCTTCATGGCGGTAGTGAAGAACATCTTGGTGGTTGAGTAGTAGTATATATGATATACTATATAAAAGCCTGTTGTTCAAGTGAATGAAGATAACTAGGTAAAGACGGTCAGACTATCCGAGGAAAGAAGACTGAAGTGAAGTCGAAGATGAAGCAGAACTGCCAATGCTGTTGATGGAAGAAGCTGAGGAATCGAAAGCATCGTGGAAGAGGGCAGATCTAAGGAGTGCTTTTATACATTTTCAAAACCTCGAAAGGCGTCCCATCTCCATAGATCGGGCCATCCCACGATACATCTCCGGCTCATTGTCTGGCTTTACGTGGTGTTGCGCCGTCATTGAGGCATTTCAGACTAGCTGTTTACGTAGCGGAGGTCTATAAAGCTTGATCATGTCCGGTAGTGCTTCACTTGAATGAAGGTCACGATACTGTTGTTCTCGTCTTCGTCTCACAGTATCGTTCGTCCCGCATCCGTCTTGTGATAGCATCCACACCGTCTTCATCTTATCATATCTTCAGTCCGTGATGCTCACGACTGCGGCCGGTTGAATGGTGCTACGAGGACTTGCGATGACTTCATTTAGAGGTGGAGGTTGAGACAAAGAGGGAGTGATCGAGAATGGGAAGTCTTTGGCTGGCACGCTGTGGTCTTTACTGGCTTGTGACCTGTGTGAACAGTGTGAATTTGTGATTCTGGAGTAGTATCTCATTGGACATTCAATGTTCGGGAAATGGCAATTTCTTCTGCAAAAAAGCCATGGCAGAGCTTAGGAAAATTCCGATGAAATGTTTTTATATATCAGATACATAAGATCTCATGAGTAATTACATCATGTATTACTGAGTTTGCGTGAAAGATTCAAGCGAGTTTAGCATGCCGACTTACCGCCGCGCAGCTAGCAAAAGTATCACGATGGCTCATCCGAATAATGTAGACAGCTCATTGGAAAAAGAGATGCGATTGTTCCCACTGAACCTTCGCCCGTCCCTCCTTTAGTGTACACAGCTTTGTCCTAATGCTTTCGTGCATCGTCACCACTCTCGTTTATTTGCTCATAACTCACGTGGATCTCGATTGCATGAGCACTGGTGATGACTTTTAGTATGAGAATGTTTATCTTGAATGGATACAAACGATTCTAGGAGACTCTGTAGTGATCAACTTACAACAGGCTAAAGCATTATACGAGGTCAATCCCTCTAAAAGCCCAGATACGGACTGGCGTCCATCAGCATTGGCTGCTGCTCCTAAGGAAAAAAAAGGTCACACCGAATGGCTCAATCAGATTCCCCGGGTTCGGTCTAAATCTCTCCAAATTCATCAAGATAGTCACTCAGCTCAATGCACAAGAGGCGACAGGAGATTCGCCATTGCCCGTCCTGCCCCTCCCGTGGCTGTACAATTAGCATGCGTTTTTCAATAGTTTCAATGACGTTCTGGAGAAGAGGCGAACACTTCGAATCTTTCTGCAACTTCTCGAAGTGCTAAGTCTCTGTTAGTCTAGGATAGTGATAGGCAAATATTGCGACTGAAGTAGAAACTGGGCACAGACCTCTGTCACTGTAGGCTTGATTCTCCTTTTAGAAAGATGAAAGTCATCTGAGTCGTCAACTAGGCATTCTTCCGGGTAATTATATAGATAGTCGTCCGTGTCGCCATCTGTATTATCGCTGATCTCAAAAAAGGCACAAGACGGATCTATCCCGGTAGACTTATGTTTTCTGATGTCATCCAGACTGCTCAGTAGCTCTTGGCCGCCGATGTACCACGTGATGAACTCTAAAAATACACACCCAAGGCTCCAGATGTCGCTCGACGATTTGTTATATGCGTCTGAGTCGGCTTCGGGCGGCATATATGAAGGTGTGTAGCCATAATCCTGCCAGGTATCTTCAAGCAAGGTGGAACCCCTGAACTCGGCAGCCCCGAAATCGCAAAGCTTCAAAATTCCTAGATCACCCTCTCCTCCACTTCCGGGGAACCATAGCACGTTCGATGGCTTAATATCACCATGGGAGCCGCGTAGTTGGTGGCTACGTCTTGTTCGAGCTGGTAACCGTCTCCGTTCAGTATGTGGCGGAGGTTCGCTTGAGGTAGTTTGCACGCCACGCAGAGAACTAAAGGAGGAAGTCGCATGGTAATGGACGCCGTTCAGCCCCTCAGCGAGCCCTAGGCACTGTTTAACCATCCACTGTAGCACTACCGAACTGGAAGCAGGTCTTGGGTTTCTCTTCCAGTACTCGGCCAAGTCACATTCAGCCCATGGGAAGATGTAGTGAATGGACCCATCGTGTTCGAATACTGACAGTAAAGGTCTTATATGTTCATGGGCGACCCGTTTCAGCGTCCTCATCTCTGTCTGATAATCATCCCCAATAATTCGAATGGACTTCAAGGCGAAGAACTGATTTGATCGACGATTGTCATCAGAAACATCGGTTTCCTGCAGATTTGTGAGTTCTCTTTTTGACCATTGACCCCTGGAAGCGGTGTCAGAGAAGTGGGCTTGGCTCACCTGATCATCACTGAAATTATAATGTTCGGGATGAAGCTTGACTTTGAAGAGGTTTCTCGCGGGAGTATTACTCCGATAAAGTTGTTTTAAGACGAAGGGTAGAATCTCCTTGTTGTCGTATTGAATGCTGGCGTTTCCGAGCCTCAAAGTTGGGACCAGAAACTTCCATTGCTCGCATTCGAAATGTTCGACGGTGTAAGACTTCCAGCCCTGAAAGCATTTCAGAATGTCATCAGGGTTATTACGCCGACGCATGGTGTAGGAATTGGCTGTCCTGCCATCAAGTACCCTTGTGAGTGGTAAATCAGCGTCGCATACCCCTTCCTTTATGAATCTCTTGATATTAGGAGCTTTTTGGATCAGTAATAAGATAGCGAAAATCTTTCGGTAACAAGTACGGTCCTCGTCTTCGCTCGCCGCACATATTATCCGAGCTGTATCCTCCGTGTCCGTAAGATGTTGGCTTCTTCTCCATAGCATAATCCGCTTCATTAGTTTAGTCTCGAGTCTTCTTAGTTCCCTTAATATTGATTCTTGTGTAACGATTGATTCAAACTGCTGTCGAGGGACGAATTTTCGAATGCTTCCAGGTTGAGAAACAAATGCGCTGGCACCCGTCTTGTCGATCGCTTCATATAAGGCTTCCAATACAGATCCTCTCGAGCCATCATAGCCAGAAAGTCGAAGCAGATTGGTGTAAAGGCTCCCAGCTCTTGGGAGGTTTGACGTATCCTTGAGTTTTGGCTTTATGCTGGTCCTCGGTTTTGCTGTAGCAGGCTTTTTGGCTCGTGCGACAAGGGTTTGCTGAACTAAGCTTGCGACATCTGCAAAATGCACCGTTTTTTGCCTTTTCACCTGTGACTAGCATTAAATTTCAGTAAGTGCTCACGATCTCTACAATGTACAGGCGCTCCGACTGACAAGTTTTTCGTTGAGAGGATGAATGGAATCGATATATATCTCCTGAGTGGATGGCTTGATCGGTTCCTCTTCG